TGGGGTCTCTGTTCCGTTTTAAAAACCGACTAGTTAATCATGCTGGTTCAATGTTCATCCATATCTGAAGTTCATTGGCAACATTGACACTTCGCCATGCCGCAGTAACATACAGTCGCGGCCCACAGGGAATGAAGGCTTGGCAGCTCTTGTTGGATTGGTTCATGCCAGTAGAGCGGGCCCGTCTCACCCGCGCAGCGGTGGGATTGTGCCAAGAAGTTCAGTGGGTCAGGACAGTAGCCCGGAATATTCACGGAAACATTAAGAGATGCGGCTACAACTGATCTTTTCTTAGGAGGGCCGCTGCAGGGCCAACAAAAGGCATTATGTCACACACTTCACTTCCGTGGCGCACTTGCGTGGGACTAAGTTTCGTCCAAATTGAACGGATAAGGTCCCATGAGAGTATTTGCTGGATCTTGAGCAGCATTTAAGCCAAAATCTTTTTGCGAGTGTATGCATCGTACGTCTACAGTGTCTGAAATGGATCTGTAAAGGGCGTCGAAGGTGTGCCGATTTGTTTCTTGCACCTGCGGGTTTCTTATAAGCCCCCGGATATTGTTCTTGTGATCAGTTTCAGCCAGAAATTCTTTATATAATGAAGGACGTAGTCGGGCAATGTCGGGCTCGCAAAGGCTGAAGTGACAGTCAAATTCACAACTAGGACGTCCTTACATATCAAATGTGGGCACACATGGACGCGCAGTGTCCTTGACCTTTGTGCACTGACGGCTGCCTAAGAAAACCTTGCCAAAATTTATCCTTGGAAAGCTTGTGTTAAAGCAACCCCCAGCACCCAAATCCGAATTTCAAGCTGGGACGTCCCGGGTTGAATTTGCAGAAGCCCCACCGCCAAGGCTGATTAAAACCAACTTTTAGGGTGCGATCAGCTTGTTTGTTTCAAGTTTTTCTCTGGAGCCTTGGGGCATTTCGATCCGGGACGTCCCGACTTGAATTTGCGGTTTGCGCGTGAGCTGCTTTGCTCCGACGCTCTGGAAGGGCCATTTGCTGGCCCTGCCACGTACCCCTTCGGTTTGCAACATGGCCCCAAATATGCGTTTGGTGCCGCGATTGGAGAGCGTTCTGTCCAGCAATCCCGTGAAACGCATGAAGCTCAAGGCGCAAACAAAATTAAATCGACGCCTGGCCAGTTTCCCCTTCCAGCTTAATTTCAATTCAAGCGGGTGGACCAGCTCATTGTCATGTCCCCTGCTATGGCTACTTTCACATCCCAGTGAGCAAAGTCTCACAAACAGGGCTGAATGAGTTTTGCACAAGTAATCCCGCTTCTTATCACACACTGAAGAAATACAACCTCCTACTTTCTAAATCTAACAGCTGCTTGTACCGTTGGGCGCGCGCGTGGAACTTGAAGGGTAATGTCAAAAAATGAGTTGGGGAGTTTGGGATGTGAACGCTATTGTGTGTAGTGGTTGGCCCTGCAGCGGCCCTCTCAAGAAAACATCAGACAACAAGTTACCTGTATGATTGTAAGGTTACCATCTTGCCCATGACGCCTGAAAGATATTACCGTTTAGGTTGGGGGGGTATCCTGATTGTTCCTCATCACGACATCCCAGATTCGTCCCCATGACCTCTGAAAGATACATATCATTACCATTTGGGTTGGGGGGGTTTGGGGGGTATATTGCTTGTTCTTCATCGTTACACGCAAGAATCTTCCCCATGACCCTTGACGCTTTGATGACATTATCATGTAGGTTGGGTGGCTTGATGATGATGATGATGATGATGATGGTGATGGTGATGGTGATGCCTATGATGATGATGATGATGATGGTGATGATGATGGTGATGATGGTGATGATGATGATGATGACGATCATGATCATGATTACGAAAGCCAGCTGTCAAGCATGGCGAAGTTGGTCATTGCGAACGAAGTGAGAATAGGGGGTCTGGGGGGCGGTCGTCTCCAAACAGACGCATTTCACGCTTTTCCCCACCTAATTAGGGTGGCCACCGTGGTCGATTTTGCGGCTTATGTACCAGGTGGCAAGTGGGTGACGGTGGGGTTCGATCCCCCCTGGTCCGTCCTCTGAAGTGCATTTGGGGTGGGTGGAATGGAGGGTAAAAGGATGCAAGAATGGAGTCAAAGCAGAACAGAACAATGGAAAAACGTGGAAAGCGAAATGGAAAAAGAGAGGGAATGGAAGGAACAAACAAAGGGGACGGATTGGAGTTTTGGGGTGGGGTGTACGATGGGTGGGAAGTTGGAGGGCCAAGAGGGTGGCTTGGGCGGGCTCTTTGGGACGTGAGCAGGCAATGTGGAGTGAGGCTCTTTTAGGTAGCTGTTGGGAAGCAAAGGAGCCGGCAGGGTGAAGGGTGTAAGGTGTGGGAGTGTAGAGTGTCACGTGTAAAGTTTAAAGTGTAGAGTGTGGAGTGTAAGTGTAGAGTGTAGAGTGTAGAGTGTGGTGTGTAAAGCGTAGAGTGTCGAGTGTAGAGTATAAAGTGTCGAGTGCAAAGTGTAGAGTGTGGGGTGTAAAGGGGGTGTAAAGTATGGAGCGTGGAGTGCTAAGTGTGCAGCAGGGAGTGAGGAGTAAAGTGTCAAGTGGAGTGTGTAAAGTGTAGAGTGTGCGGTGTGGAGTGTAAAGCGTAGAGTGTTGTCCTTCCTTCTCTCCAGGAGCTCCACCCCGCCGGCCCCTCCGCCCCTCCCCCGATGCCCCCACCAACCCCCCGCCGCACTCCCTCCCATGCTCTCCACTCTCCTGTCCCCGTTCAAACTTGACCCTGGCTTTCGTCCCCTCTTCTCAGGTGTTGATGATCATGATGACGATGGTGATCCTTCCCGGTCCGGGCAAACGATGGCGTTTGACCGTATCCTCAGTATCCTCAGTTATCCTTAGTATCCTTAGTATCCTTAGTATCCTTAGTATACTTAGTATACCTAGTATACAGAGTATACAGTGTGTATGAACGGTTCGGTTCAGAAATAGATTTGTGCAAGACGGTTTCTGAGACTGCTCAGTGTGTTTTGTGCGTTACATATACATGCACGCACACACACACACATATTCTTGTCGTTTAAAATACCACAAGCTGTGCTCGCGGGCCAGCAGGTTTGCTCAAACTATCACTTGTGTTGCCTTCGTCCCTGGCGTGCGCCAAATTGTTTGGCAGGTGCCGAAGAGCTGGGTATCATGAACTTGCCCTACACCACGGCACAACCTCCAGAGAGGCCACGTTTTGGACGACCACGTTCGCATTCCATGTGACGATTTTGCTCGGCTCGACAAAGTCGTAGTTGCGTAGCCTTTGGCGAGAGTTATGTTCGCTTTCCGCAATTTTCTTTTGTCTCCAGCACAAATTCAATATATAGATTGAATTCATTACAGCAATTGCAGCCACCAAAACAAACAGAAACAGTGCCGTATGAAAAACGTGTTGTTGGAATGTTTTTTTTGTTCTCCTACTGGTGGCTGCAATGCTTGGGCGCAAGAAAGGATGAACCATACCCAAACGCCCTGGACGCTCTGGTGTCTCAGAGTTTCTGGTTTTGCTTAACTTTGCTTGTGTTCTACTTGTGTTCTTTCTCCACTTCGCGATTGACCAAGAAACTGACTAGCCTCGGTTGTAGACTGCCCGCAGCTTTGAAGCGAAGCTTCCCAGATGCAATGTTGTTCCGTGCACGCTTAAAACTCTTTGCCTGCGTGTCAGGTCTTTAAACGCATAAGTGCGCCCTTTTGGGATTCCAAATGATTCCAAATGAGCAACTTCAGACTCCTGCTTCATCCTGCTTCGCAGTTCGAGAAATGAAGAAACACTGCTAAGAAACGATCTCAGCATATTCTTCCAGTTTGGTTTCCCAAAAGGAACTGCGACCGAGCTCTCAAGGAGATCGAAAAGGTGCCAGACATTTTCAGATGCTGTAATCTTTTCTTTAATTTTGTTCATCACGGATTCAAATCACAAACAATTGTGCAGCATGCACCTGCGAAATTCATGCTAGACTAGACTGGATATGACGAAATTCTGGATGGAATTCATTCAATATTCAGGCTTATGTTTCTTGGGTGTGCACGGACCCTATTCACAATGCTCCACGGCTTCATCTTGCGCTACAAAGGACAACCACACCATGCGATCATTTGCAGCTAGCTTAGCGGCCGCAGAGCGTCCTTAAACATGAAACATGGCCTCAAACATATTATTTACCCACCTGTTGTATATTGTTTTCTCACGGGGTACATCATGCTCCTTGTTAATGTGATAGGTAGATTGAGAAGCATTACTGTTCATGACACATGCCCAACTTTTTGCCCAACTGAAGAGCCCAGCTGTCAGCATCAAGCTGCCTAGCTCGCCTACCTGGGTAGCTGGACCTGGGCCTTACTCTGGCTGCATATTTTGCTGCTCCAAGGTGGACGCACAGGACTGAATTCCTTGTGCGAAAGAGAAGACAGGAATTCACAACTTCAGCAATATATATATATATACATACATATAATCGAAGGAAGTTTAGAAGTCAAACTTCCGACAATATGGAGAGATGAAAAAGCAGTCAGCAGGGAGAAGAGTCAGAAGAGAAATGATCAGAAGAAAGAAGATGCAGGTGCGCGAAAAGGTAGGAAAGTCGCGAAACACTGTGTTTTTTCGTGGTTTTGTGGCTCCGGAGGGTTGAAAAGTAGGCTCGCTAAAGCGGCGGGTGCGGAGACATCTGGGGAGATGAGAGATGAAAAGTTGCACGCCGTTGTGGCGCGAAGCCGATTTCGAAGTGAAAAGGTACAAAACCCCGCAGCGTCGGACCACTTTTGGAAGTTGAGATGTTAAAAAAGTGCACGGCGTTGTGGCGCGAAGCAGATTTGGAAGTAAAATGAAAATTGAGGGGTTCGGAGCAGTTTTGGAAGTTGAGATGACGAAAAAGTGCACGGCGTTGTGGCGCGAAGCACATTTGGAAGTAAAACATGTTAAAAACTGAGGGGTTCGGAGCACTTTTGGAAGTTGAGATGACGAAAAAGTGCACGGCGTTGTGGCGCGAA